ATTTCTCAGTCAGTATCCAGTAGTAGTATCGTTGTGTTGTTTCATTCACAATATTCACTTTTTTTTCTCTCTCTCCTCATTTTCCCCCTCTTTGCGCCTTTTTTTTCAGTTCAGTTCATCTGCAGTTTCCCAACGAACAGCTTATCAAAAGTCTTTTTTTTTTGTTTTTGTAATAAATATATACAAAATGCATTACTTTCTTTTTTTTTCTGTCTTTTGCACTGGTTACTATTTCCAGTAGCATTTACCGCACAGTGGATAACGAATCAAAATATATTGTCTTGGATACATAGACGGATCTTCCAAGCCGGCGGCACAGGCACTAATGTTGCAAAATCCAGGTCTAAAGCTAGAACTAAAGCCTAAAGTGTCTCTAAGTAGCAGTTTTACAAGTTTATTCCTAGTTATGCGTTTTATTTTGTGCTATAGCGCTGTTACAGTCAGCAAAAACGCGTATTGTCGAGAGGCTGTGTGTGTTGTCAGAAACGAGTGCATTTTATCACCCACTTCCCTCAGGAACCAAGAAAGCTGGAAGGCTGAAACTGTAGGTAATGTCCCTACCCGTGTGTCATCCTCCCGTTTCAAGATGTTCCTCCACACACGCCTGGACCCCGCGTACGGACCCTTGAAAAAAATATGCAGATTTTTCTGGGGGGAAACGATGTTGCGAACCAGGCAAAGTACAAAGCTGCGCACATTTGGCGTAAGACCACGTCAAAGTTTGCGATTTGGTTCGCCCAAAAGTCCCTCCTGAATCCACCTGTGCTTGGATAATGTAATGTGTGTGCGGAACAGCTAATGTGCTTTCTTGCATATATCCGCCTGAAATATCTGGAGGCAATCAGTTTGGTTTCCAATCTGTGCAGTTAACAATTTTTCCAATTGCTTTGACCAGTGAACACTGGTCAGTTTACTGAAGGGCATCTTGGAAGGGATGATCCGTTCAGCAGTTTTCCAAACAGAATCACTTGACACGGTAGCATTCTTTATTAAAGGTTGAAGAGAAAATATGAGGGGAAAAAACGAAGAAAAAGCGAAGTAAGATGGGGGAAGGGGACTAAGGAAATATTTGTGATAGGTAAGAAATGTTTCGGCCCATATGTTGAACAACAATACCTCTTCCTAAGTGTTGTAGAAATTTTTACAGATAAAAACAGTGAATATCCCTGGCAGGGGAGACTGGAAGAGGACGGGAGCCTAAAATCGTCTATGTGTTAACACATACAATTCGTTTGGCACTGCTGGCCCAGCAGCGTGGAGAGGAGGAACACAATCGAATTTTGATAATGAAAACACTGGAAGTAATGCCATTTAGATCTTCCAAATAAGCAAATTTGTACATACAGTGTGACTAAAACCTGTCATTTTTAGACCACGAACATCATCCCCTCTTTCTTACTAGTTAGGAGCATATGATCGTATGCTGTCATAGGATATTACAGATCCACAATAATGTCTATTTCTCTAAAGAAGTAGATCCGTGAGCGTGACATTTTTTTAAATTTTTTTCAGCTCAAGCTTTGCAGGTTTCTCAGTATTCATGGCTTTGCCGTCCTTCGTGGTATTTCATATCTAAAATCGCTCAACGGTTTTGGGCATGTTGGAAATCTCTTGTTGTTTTGTTATTGATCTGGAAAATTTTCGTAGAAGAGCATGAAGAAGAAACATTTGGAGTGGTTTTTATCCGAGATTGAAACATTCAAAAATCCAAAAGTACAACTTGAGCAATATTCAACGAGCGTCGCACTTGCAGGTAACTCATTTTTCGTGTTTTTACTGCTCAAACTTACCGCAAATTCTATTAATTTTCGAGTTTTTATGTATATGTCCCCATTTAGGCTATTTTCGGGTACTTCTGCCTCCAAAAGGAATTTTTTACAGGGGGCGGGGCAGGACGGGAGGGGAGGGGATAGCATGGGGGTGGGGAGGGGAGACGGGAAGGGGTTAACATTGGGTTAATGTATTTGTTTTCTTTATTACAGAGGCTATACTGGCTGCAATAAATGATGAAGGATGTCTTGAGGGTTGTACAGTGGCTGATTTGGGATGTGGTTGCGGCATATTGCTGCTGGGAGCAGTTAAATTGGGCGCGAGGTAAACTTCTTCCACTGATTGGTCTTATTTTTTCATCAAATTTTAATTGAACTTACTTATCAATGACAGTTGAACTGGTGATGCTCAACACACCTTTTCCTTCTCATCTCTGAACACTATGACCATCATACTGATCACGAGGTCCAGTCGTGGTGTTGAGCTGAGACGTTCTGAACAGCACGACCGTCGTACTGACTACGAGGTCCAGTCGTGGTGTTGAGCTGAGACGTATATGACTTAATGGACTGAAACATCTTAACTCTTTCGTACTAGTTTTTCCCACACCAGCTATATTTATACATCCATCCATACATATTTCACCGCATATTTAAGTCCTTAACATTGCTTGCATGCTACAATCATCCGTTTTTTCATCTCGAGACCTACAAAAGCTACAGGGCTGAAACTTTGGAAACTTAATCTACATGCGTGCACGGGCCAACATTCTTACCCGCCTCATATCCACGTACGGATCTGCCAAAGTTTCCGATCAGCTTAGTATTAATCAGCTTGACATTTTGAAAGGCTCCTTTTCGGTAAGGCATCTCTTTGCGATTAGTGGCTACAATTGAGCTGATGATGCTCAGCACACATCAGTGACATCCCGAATTGGCTGAAGCCAATTACTCGTTGCAACGAAAAACCCGCGAAAAGCCACCCAAAAAGTCGCTACAAAGATAAAGAGAGGAGAAAAAAGTTGTATCTTGCCTTGGAAGGCAGATAAACAGTGGGTATGCTGCCAGACTGAACCTGAAGCACAAGGACCTGTGGTGTAGTGGCAACGCATTGCGTCCGGGCGTGAAGAGGAGTGGTTCGATTCCCAACTAGTTCATAGTGGTTTTTGAGAAAGGTATCCGTTCATGATATTCTTTTTGAGGGGACCGATGAGCTTGTCATTCTTATAAGAAGCGAGGGGAAAGTCTGGGTGGACAATAGGTTGGTCGTCTAACAATATGACACAGGTTAGAGCAGCTAGAGAAGTTGCTCACTACATAGTTGGAGAAACAGATTATATAGTACAGCTGATTCAGCCTGGACAGTTTTGAGATGTCCGCCTGCCGAAGAAATGCTAGCTAGGAAATTTTAGCTCAGTATTGGGGAGGGGGGG